CTCTTGTATTGAACTGTATTGCTGCTGTATCGTCCCCTGTTATATTGTAAAGCGATGAGCAAACTGTTGGCGCTATATAAATCCTGTATAATAATAATAATAGTTTTATTAATTCTCAGTCCTGCACTGCTACACTGATTTTGAAAAGTGACAGCGGGAGTGGGGAGAAGAATCCCTACATGCTATCGTAGAGAAGGGGAGGCAGGAGCTGGAACATGTTACATGGTCTATCCTAAATATGGGTGGAACATGTAACATGCTCCAAGGGTGAACTTGTTAACAGATGGGTTTGTGTTTCATATAATAATATATGATACGGAGTGGCACCATTTTGACCACTGACACATGGGAGGGGCACCGTTCTGACCACTGACACAGGGGAAGGGCACCATTCTGACCACTGACATTGTAGCATTTATTACACCCACTGACCACTTAAACAGGCATTTAGCAGTTATTAGTCCCACTGCAGCAGAGACATTTATTACTCCCATTGACGTGTGTGTGTGTGTGTGTGTGTGTGTGTGTGTGGGCGGGGGTGGGGGATGGGGTGTTAGGATTTTTTCACTCCTACTGACAATATCTAAATATCAGACTTCATTCAACTGAGTTTGCGAACATGCATGCTAATTATTGTGTCCATTTTGTGGTGGTTCTTTTTACGCTTCCCATACATTGGTTAGTTTACATACCAATATCACAGTGTATGAGCTCTCATAGTACCCACCACAGCACATTCACATTCACAGCACTCATTCTATACTTGGTTCATGTTTCTATCTAGTGCTTGTGTAACAGACTATATATGATATGCTCTATAGCATATCATATGTAATAAATTTTGTCAGTCTGTAGGCGGAATTTCTTCCGTCAAACATTATCTATCAAGTGGGGCTTAATTGTCTTTCCTGCATAAGATAACACTAAGGATTCTTTGCAAGGGCTTACTGAAAGATTACATACTACATATAATTGAATGAAGTAATTATGTGAATCTAGCAAGAAATCTAAAGCTTTACCACAAATTTAGATATAAATTATTCAAGTGTCAATTCTCACTAAGGGATTAAGTAGCCTGGGACTGTTTATTATAAAACCATCACACAATTACAGATCTCAACACTTCCATAGTGTGCTTTTGGATCTCTTTAGAATTTTAATGTGATGTTATTATGCCACCATAGTTTGTGTAAGAAATTCAATGTTAATCAGCTATCAGCAGGGTAAATTTTAAAGGGAGCAACTAGTGAACCCTGTTTATAGTGACTGAATAGAATATAAACTATACATAAACCCCTAGATGTTAATCCTGTAATCTTGCTATACAACACACACACGCTACAGTTCTTGTAAAGTAATGTCAATTCTTTAGAACAGTGTTTTCCTTCTGCAGTCCTTAAGTACCCTTAACAGGTTCTGTTTTGTTAAATTCCTTTCAATATTTAATTAATATCGAATGATAAATCATTACCACAGCTGTTTGATCTTTGGGAAATCCTAAAATCATTGGGGGTTGCTAAGGACTGGAGTTGAGTCAATCTAGTTATCTAGCTGAACTTTGAGCAGGTTTGTATTCACATTTTAAAATCATACCAGTGTTATGTTACCGTTACTGTAGCATGTATATTGTACATATATGGGGATTTCCATATCATAAGAGGTCGAGGTTCGGTGTGGTCCACAATAGATGTAGTAAGAATTTTTAGTCTTATCAGTCATTAGAACTTGGATTCCATTACTTTAATTTCATCAAGCACTAATTGGTGTGCTGGTCAACCAAAAGCTGAAAATTTTAATTATAGGGTTAGTACACCTTTGCAAAAAAACTGCCTATGCAGGTAAGGGGTGCATGTAGATAAAAAACAAACTGTGCAGCTTCGATCAACGTTAAATAATACCCTTGCTATAGGTGTGGACCGTATATGCACCTCCCAAAGCAGGGCCAAAAAATTCCTGGAGATGACATCATCTCATTCTGCTGTGTTGCTAGGACATTCCCAGCCAATTCAAACCACCTTCTTTTCATCCAAACTTTGGGACTTGTGTAAACAGCCTACACCTATAGTAAGGGTATTATTCAAATGCACAGTTTGCTTTTATCTGTAGGCACCCCTTCCCTACATAGGCAGTTTTTTTAAGGATAAATGCTTATTGTACACATTATATGTTGGAGACTATAAACAGTATATTGTAAATCAAAATAAACAATATCCATAATTTTCACTAACAAATCTACTGAACCTTACATCCATTTTTTTTTAATTTTACAATTTTGAAATTTAACTTCTCTTTTTAATGTGATGAATATGTACTGTACATTGCTTTGGAGCCCAAAATATCAGGTCCTCTGTAGCCTATGGTCTTCCTAAAGTCAAACTCATCATCTTTCCTTTTTAGTACTCAACTCCATACTGCAAATTAATAGGTAGTTCTTCTCTGGTCAGGAAGTCCTAGTTGCTGCTATAAATTAGAAATTATTTAAAACAGGTATACTTGATCTAGGACTATGAACATTGCTGCATATTTTCTAGACAATTTATAAAATTTGCACACTCTCAAGAGATGTTTTGTGGCAGAAAAGTTCATGTTCAAACCTTATATATGCCATGGATATTATACTGTGATCCCTTACATTGTATATGGCTAACAATGGGTCCTGGGTTCTGCCCATTCAGAGTCTTTTTATGTTCTACTGGTATTTAGGTTAAGTTTTCATTGGACTTCCATGACTTCCTCCATAGCCACAAGACATGTCACAACACTGCTCCTAGTGGGTGTGGGTATATAAATGTGGTGGGGATATTAGATGGTAGCCTTTCCCAGAGGCAGGGTATGATGTGCATGGAATATTTCAGATAGCAGTCTCCCTCCAGAAGCAGGGTCTTCTCCGTTAAATACTGCAAAAATGTTGATGCTATTAATATATTAAATGAGCTCATATATGTTTGGCTTGTTCTGTACAGAGGATGTTCTATTAATAGTTTGTATGGATACTTGATGAATGCTTGGAGGTATTGAAAACGTATGACTACTGAATGACAGTCCAACAGAAAGAAAAGTATTGTGATTTTTTTGTATAATAGGATAGAGATTAAATTACATTTAATGCAAATCCTCACAAAGTTCCAGATATAAAACTGCACCAGAGTAAACCAGTACCCTTAAATCAAACTTCAGCACCTTTTTTCAGTGCAGACAGATATCTTACTATGGTTCCTATATCAGATTCTACTACAGTAAGTCCTAACTCCTGTGTGACACAAATGAATTAAAAAAAATATTTCCACAATAACGTGTAAGTGTGTGCATATATAAATATAGTGGTTTCTTACTTTCTTCAGAAAGGTCATTCTCTTCTGCTTCCCTCTCCATGTCCTTACACCAGTCTTCCATTCTTTTGGTTTCTGCATGGAGCAACTTCATAAACCATGTGCCATCTTGTCGACTAGGAGATATTCGCCCTGAGTCCACTGGTTCATGAGCAGGTTCCAGCCATGGGTCTGGTGGTGGCAAATTTGATGTATCCACTGGGGTCCTATAATCCTCTCGGTAACTAAACAGTCCCTGAGTCCGTACTGTTCTTACTGCACCATACTGAGTTGGGGTGCTAGGTTCAGAATGTCTTTGAAATGAAGATCCAAACTGTAGACCTTTATCCTCCATTGTGATGTGACCTGGGAAGCCCTCTAATTCAAGGTCAGCTTGTACAGCTGCAGTCACACTGTTTGATCTTTTGAAACGTCCTTGCCTAAATAGATAAAAGCATAGAAAGATCAATAGATACTATAATTTTACCTAATTTTTAGTATATCAGCTTAGGTTTTCAGAAGTACCATAAGTGTTCTTATATTTCCCATTGTGAAGATCTATGTCACTCTCTTTATATTTGACCATTGAAAGTTTAGAGTGAAAATGCACATGACCAAATAAATATGAGGAACATATTCTCTCTTACATAATCCAACTCAGGTATATATGGCAGGCATATACTGTAGGGTTATGGCCTTGTTCACACTGCCAATCAAATGTGGTGCTTGGCAGCAGTCCTGACCCCTGCCAAAATCCCCTCCCTCTCCATTTTAAAATCCAGGAAAGTAGCCTGAATGACTTAGAATATTGCTTACCAGGAAATAGTGAGATGGAACAACATGTGTGAACTTCAGGACCACTTTCCAAGCATTTACATTTCATTAACTCCAGGTGCAGGTACTGGGGGTATACCTCATCTTTACTGAGCTGCAAGTCTCATAAGACAATAATGTTTCCAGACATATATCTGCGGTCAGGGAATTGTGGCAGAACAAACAATGGATGGGGCATCAGGGATGTAGTAACCCTTTGGTTAGTATTTAGTTGCCCAGTGGACCCCCTTCCAGGAAAGTAGCCTAACTGTCTTTTGCATGCAACATCAGTGCAAAGAAGGCTTCGGATAAACAGAGCAATTTGTAAAGGGTAGAATGTAATGATAAATCTTCTCAGGCCCTAAATATTTCTAACATTTTCTACAGAAACAATTGAGTACTTACGTGATACTTTTTTTATTTGCACTAACATACAATTTTGAGGACAAACATTCGGGGGAATGTCCCCTTCGTCAAGGTCCAGGCAGTACTACTGCACAAAGTTTTAGCAGAATGTTAAAAGGGGGATAAAAAAAACAGAAAGAAACACACACAAACAAACAAATGTACACAGCAATGGTTATAAAACTAGGATTAGACTAGAGATTAGACACAGTAAAAGTAAAGACTGGGGGGGGACAACACTCACAGAGGGGGTCGTAAAACTGTTGGATAATGAGTGAGGAATCCCATGTCCAAATTAAAGCCGATATCTCTTGTGTCAAATAGAATTAACATTTTTAGTTCAAAAGTCTTCCTTTCCTGTATAATTTTGAAATTTCCTGTAAGAACTAAAATATTTAGGTCTTCCATAGTATGGCCCGGTTGTGCGAAATGGTGTCCCACAGGTGTACAGAAGTCATTTTCTTTATGTTCCTTGATGGTATGTCTATGCAAATTCATCCTTGTTTGCAACTTCTGTCCTGTTTCGTCAGCGTAGGATCCTTTGCTACATTTTCTGCACTGGATAAGGTATACAACATTACTAGAGGTGCAGCTGTATGATCCGGAGATATTGAAGATCCCTTTTGAGTGTCTGACACTTTTTGATGGATTGATTTGGTTGTACAGTTTGCAGCGTTTTTTATTGCAGGGTTTGTTTCCATTATTTGTGACCTCATAATCAGAAGGAAGTTTCCTACTGATTAGTTTATTTCTGAGGTTGGGGGGGGGTTGCTGGAATATTTATTTCAGAGTTCCATCCTCTGTTAAGATAGGTTGTAAATCTTTGATTATTTTTCTTATTCCTTCTAGTGCTGGGTTGTATGTGGTTACTAGAGGTACACAGTTGTTTGTTTTTTTCTCTTTGTACTGAAGTAGATTTTCTCTTTGGGTTCTCAAGGCTGTGTTTATGCTGTGTTGATAGTTTTGTCCTTGTAACCTTTCTTATGGAAGGGTCAGAACATATCGGTGGTATCTAATGGCCTGATTGTGTATGATGGCACGTTTTGTGTGTTGGGGGTGGAAGCTAGAACTGTGGTGTCTAGGAAGTTGACCTGTGTGTTTGAGTATTCCATTTTTAGTTTGATTGATGGATGAAAAGTGTTGATCAATGAGTAAAATTGTTTTAGGTTTTCTTCACATTCTGTCCATATGATGAAAATATCATCAATATAGCGATAGTATCTGTATGGTTTTTGTTCCATGCTGTTCAAGAATTTTTCCTCCAGGTCAGCCATAAATAAATGGCATATTGGGGGGGCCATTTTACTTCCCATAGCAGTACCCATACATTGAAGATAGATGTCTTTATTGAAAGCAAAGTAGTTGTGTGTAAGTAAGAATTCAATGTATTTATGGTTTGGTGAGAATGATAAGGATCTGTGACATGCAGCTAATCCATCCTTGTGAGGGATATTACTATAAAGGGATACTACATCCATAGTGACTAGAAGTATATTTGATGGTAATTGCTGTATGTTGTTGATCTTGTTCAGAAAGTCAGTTGTGACTTGCAGGAAACTAGCAATATTCTTGACTAACGGTTTTAAATTTTTTTCTACAAAAATTGAGATTTGTTTGGTGAGTGTGTTCATACCTGTTATGATGGGTCTGCCTGGATTTCTTGGCTTGTGGATTTTGGGCAGCATGTAGAAGTTTCTGGATGATCCGGAATCGCATTTATAAGTTCTGAATGTAGGTGGGCTGGAAGTGTTTTAATGAGACATTTTAATTGCTTTGTAAAGTCCTGGGTCTGATCATAATCCAGTCACTATGGATGTATTATCCCTGTATAGTAACATCCCTCACAAGGATGGATTAGCTGCATGTCATAGATCCTTATCATCCTCACCAAACCATAAATATACTGCTGAGGATGTTACACAGCTCATTGAATTCATACTTACACACAACTACTTTGCTTTCAATAAAGACATCTATCTTCAATGTATGGGTACTGCGATGGGAAGTAAAATGGCCCCAAATATGCCAATTTATTTATGGCTAACCTGGAGGAAACATTCATGAACAGCAAGCAACAAAAATCATACAGATACTATCGCTATATTGATGATATTTTCATCATATGGACAGAAGGTGAAGAAAACCTAAAACAATTTTACTCATTGATCAACACTTTTCATCCATCAATCAAACTAAAAATGGAATACTCAAACACACACGTCAACTTCCTAGACACCACAGTATACATCAGGGATGATAAGCTTCACACCTCAATATACAGGAAACCCACTGACAGATGCAACTACCTCCACAGTTCTACCTTCCACCCCCAACACACGAAGCATGCCATCATACACAGTCAGGCCATTAGATACCACCGAATATGTTCTGACCCAAGAGATAGAGATAAAACATCTCGGGACACTAGCAGTTTCCTTCCATAAGAAAGGTTACAAGGACAAAACTATCAACACCAGCATAAACACAGCTTTGAGAACCCAAAGAGAAAATCTACTTCAGTACAAAGAGAAAAAAACAAACAACCGTGTACCTCTAGTAACTACATACAACCCAGCACTAGAAGGAATAAGAAAAATAACACTGTTCAACAGGTAAAAAGTTTTGGGCATAAAATTAGCTAATCTTACATAATTTTGGGGTGCTGAAAACGAAAATGACCCTAAAAAATGTTGATTGGCTCTAGTTTCCATGATATATTCACCCATCTAATGACGTAAGCCATTCAAAATTATGATGCAACTTTAGCTGCATATTGCGCAATTGATACTGGTGACCAATAGAAAATTGCATGTATACTGAGATGATGCAATATTAGCCTTTAATTGCATCACTTCACTGCAAAAAAGCTGCAGTATCTGTAGCTGATTGTAGTTCGACAGCGTCTTTACATTTCGTTTTATGCTTATATAGACTACTCAGTAATGCCTCGAACTTGTGTGAATAAAGCAGATAATTTCTGCTATATCTGCGGTGAAATAACTTTTATCTCACAAAAAAGGAGGATAACAGGAATGATTAAGAAAGCCTACAACTTGTATTTTGGCTGCAAGATAGGAGACCAGGACAAGAGCTGGGCACCACATATATGCTGCAATTCTTGTGGGACAGCACTGGAGCAATGGTTGAATGGAAAAAAGGCATCTATGCCTTTCGCTGTGCCAATGATTTGGAGAGAGCCAACAGATCATGTTAGTAATTGTTACTTTTGTATGGTGCCTCCAATTGTAAAAGGGCTAAATAAGAAGAAAAAGTTATCTGTGCACTATCCAAATATTCCATCGGCAATACGTCCAGTTCCTCATGGAGAGGGGCTACCAATTTCTAAAGCACCAGAATCCTTCGTGGTTGAGTCAAGTGAGGAAGAACCTGAAGCGTGTAGTCACGTGCAGTTGTAAGAGATAGCCCTTTCCTCGAATACAAGAGAAAAGCCAAGAGAAGCAAAACCGACACAAACTGAAGACAAAACTAGTGAGAATCCTAAGTATTAAAATGATTCAACTTAGCTTATGGCTATAATTTTTCTTGGTAATCCTATGCAATATATTATGCCATTTAGGCTTTGTTATGTAGTCAATATCACTTGCTTTATATTTGTGGAAAGGCATCTATCTATATAATTATTGTGCATTATGTAGTCATTACGCCTATAGTAGAAAACTTTCCGTTTACAGAAAAACTAGAGCCAATTGACAAATTTCATTGTTATATTTGAACTCAGAATGTGAAATTCATTAAGAAATGGATCCTTTTGTTTGGTCACAAATAATGGAAACAAACCCTGCAATAAAAAACGCTGCAAACTGTACAACCAAATTAATCCATCAAAAAGTGTCAGACACTCAAAAGGGATCTTCAATATCTCCGGATCATACAGCTGCACCTCTAGTAATGTTGTGTACCTTATCCAGTGCAGAAAATGTAGCAAAGGATCTTATGTTGGCGAAACAGGACAGAAGTTGCAAACAAGGATGAATTTGCATAGACATACCATCAAGGAACATAAAGAAGATGACTTCTGTACACCTGTGGGACACCATTTCGCACAACCGGACCACACTATGGAAGACCTAAATATTTTAGTTCTTACGGGAAATTTCAAAACTATACAGGAAAGGAAAACTGTTGAACTAAAAATTATATTTCTATTTGACACAAGAGATAATGGCCTTAATTTGGACATGAGATTCCTCATTCATTATCCAACAATTTTATGACCCCCTCTGTGAGTGTTGTCCCCCCAATCTTTGCTTTTGCTCTGTCTTATCTCTAGTCTAATCCTAGTTTAGAACCATTGCTGTGTACATTTGTTTGTGTGTGTTTCTTTCTGTTTTTTTTTCTCCCCCTTTCAACATCTCTTTTAAAATTCTGCTAAAACTTTGTGCAGTAGTACTGCCTGGACCTTGAAGAAGGGGACATACCCGGACAGCTTGTCCTCAAAATTGTATGTTAGCGCAAATAAAAAAAGTATCACGTCAGTACTCAATTGTTTCTGTCGCAAGTGCACTAATACAACTACAATCACCTCAAGTAACATTTTCTAGAAAGACAACATAATCACAAAGAAATATCGGTGACTTTTTTCAGGCATTAGGAGGTCATACTAAATAGGGAGCAAGGCTGGATTTGGACATTAAGGGCTCGTTCACACTTGAATTTATTTCTACCTCTTGCCAAATGCCCCTATAGTGTTTGACAGGCATTAGACAGGCATTTGGAAAGCATTTTTAACGCTCCTCAAACGCTCCCAAAATGCCCTATGCGTGGTTTTGAGGAGGTTGATAGGCGTTTGCCAAGCGTTTAAACCGCACCACAAACTCCTATAATGAAGTTAAATGATATTAACGCTCCGCAACCATGTCGCAACCGCACCGCAAACTCCTGCCAGGCATTTGTGGAGAGCGACACCATAGACTTGAATGAGAGGCTTCAACTCCTCCTGACTCAACACGAGGGATCAGTTTTGCCACGACGCAACGCAATGCGACTCTAACGCTTCCGTGTGTACAGCACTGTGTGCGGCCATATGCAGAATTTCATAGGCGTTTGAGAAACATTAAAAATGCTTCCCAAAAACCTGTCTGAGGCCTGCTGACAAAGCTAGTGTGAATGTAGCTTAACAATCTACCTGAGCCTATACTATTGTTGGATATGAACCATCTCAATAAATAGCCTTCATATCAGTGGCTTTGTTTTAACCCTATGGATAGTTAGCACATGTGAACAGAACTTTGAGGGTTAGCAGAATATAGGAATTAGAAATGTGTCCTCATGTGGTAAAGAACTATCACTAATACCAGGTTTCTATGTACAAATGGAATCCAAGATTAGGTATTAAACAGAGGGAGTGAGAAACAATGAAAGAAAGGTAAAGAGAGAAAACAAGTGAATGAAAAGAAAAAAAGAGTGTGTGAGAGAGGGAAATAAAAGAGAATGACAGAAAGAAAGAGGGAAGAAATATTATGCCTTATTTAGTTTACATAACCTTAAAATAATTATAAGGGCTTAAAAAGAAAACAGCAAAGAAGCTTGCTCAGTTTCATACTGAATGAAGCAATCATGAAATGTACACAGAATTTACTATATTAAAACTCAAATCAGTTAAGAAAGCATTTTTAATTTGTAAATATGGGTTGCTGCAAACTTTACAACTTTTTGTATATTTTTTGTTTTTACTATATTTTTAATAAACCTGTAGGTGTCCAAGAAAATGAAAATAGTATTCAGTCACATAAAAAGATATCAAATAGTTCCTTAAACCCAACAAAATATTAATCTGTGTGAATCATATAACAATAATAAACCTCAACCAAAGATTAAGGGATAAAATAGCTATAAAAAAAATGTGTGCAATATGATTCATATTGGATTTTTACCTTTTTTCATCTTCCACTTGCACACCCCAACAGAATGATATTCTCTTCCTTTGCTTTCTGTATCTGAATCGGCTGCTTCCACCTAATTTGAAAAAGAAGTCAAGGATACTAGTAAAAAAGAATTAAGAATTAGAATACTGCACTGACATCTTGTGAGTTTAAGAATCCCTTCTAATAAGTTTAGGTTCAGCTACATTATAACTCCTGAAATGGAGGAGGCCATTTTCGTGACTGAACACTGTATAGTCTACTACACTGTAGTCTACAGTGGCTCAAGAATATAGAGTAGGATGTTCCATGTGATGTCACTAATCCTTGCAAATGACTACATGAAAACTATGGGGTTGATTTACTAAAACTGGATAGTGCAAAATCTGGTGCAGCTCTGCATAAATCCAATCAGCTTCCAGTTTTTTGTCAAAGCTTAATTAAACAAGCTGACGTTAGAAGATGGTTGGCTACCATGCATGCACAGCTGCACTAGATTTAGCATTTTCTAGTTTTAGTAAATCAACCCCTATGAGTCTAGTAAATTGCTTTTTGTAAAGCTATATTATAAACAGTAAATTGGACCTGAATTATAAAATAAGATCTAAAACTCTAAAGAGTATGTGAACTCAGGAACAATAATATAATATTTTTAGGCCTTTTCCCTTCTAATCTGTGAATTTTACCAGTAATTTCTCTTCCTAGGTGAAAACAGTCAGTGTATTGTACTAGACTGTATCTATGGAGTAGCAGGATTGTTATCCTAGGAAAAGACTACAGACCAACAGCCAGCAAAGGCAGTAAGCACAGGAAGTTATCTCACAAAATTTCTTGCAGGAACATTATTTTGCAATTATCAAACAGCTATAGCAAAACTATAGCTAACAGACCAAAAGCAAATAAGAGAAGTTCATTGTTAGTGTTCACATGCATTTTACTACTTCCTGCCTTGCCTACTGTAATATGATGGCTGGGCGGGACTTTCCTCGTTATGGGTGGACGACATATGATGTCTTCTCGGACGTGCCTTGCTTGCAGCCATGTGATCTGTCACCTACTGTATGTACCGGACACAGCTGATGATAGATCACTGTATCGGTCTACTGCTGGTACCATGCGATCTCTGTGACCAATCACAGCAGATCACATGACAATTGTAAACAATGAATGGCTTCCTTTCATGCCATTCATTGTGTACAATTATGTTGCTAGATGTGATTGGCACAGTGATCACATGCAATGGACAGGGCCCATCTGTACTATGTGATTAGCTGTGGCCAATCACAGCTAATCACAACAATACTTACTGAATGAATCAATTTCATTCAATAAAATGCTTGCTTATAGCAATGAAATTCACTGTTCTAAGTAATCATAATGTATAAAAAAAATCCTGATCACTTCCCCAGAGTAGTACAATGTTATTATAGTAACATTGTATTGCTCTGGTCACAGTTTCTAAAAAAAAAAGTAATAAAAAACTGAAAAAAAAAATATTTTTTTCATACTGTCACAAGTCAGTGTCCCTGATCACTGACATTTGGCCTGGGCAGGAAGGGGGTTGAAGTACTCAGTATTGAAGTGGTTAAAGCACGTGAACCTTGGCAATCTCCACTGCAATATCTTTATTTTCAAAAGAGATGAAAGAACAGGAATGTTGCCTGCACAAGGGTTAAACAACAAGCATACAAGCATACAAACCTTGCCAATTTAAATTGAGCATATGATTTAAAAATGCACGGTGGTTTACTTCAGTGAAAACATATCAAAATAGTAATTACATCAAGAAACTGGCAGCAGACATCATATGCAGATCTAGACTTGGCCTTCTGCCCTTTACGACTACCTACAGTTATTTTTTAAATAACCAGTAGAGAGGCTGAAGATAAGTGATGGGTGGGGCTGTAAGATGTTAGATTTGCATTTACCTTTAGAGTTCTGTATCTCTGAATCTACAGGTGGCTTCCATTAAAGTATATTTAAAAGAAAAACTAAACTTAAAAAAAAAAAAATTGGATACAGTTTGGAGGGGAATAGGGGTGGTTAAGGGGAACTTCTAGCAAAAAATAAAATTTTGGCTATACTTTAAAAAGAATATACACACGCGCCCTACTCACGCTGCCATTCGCTGGTCATGAAGGGGGATAAGTCCTCTGGAGGGCAAGTGGTTAACAAAAGAACATATATTCCATATTAATAATTATGGTACCAAAATAATGTGTGCTATACAGTAAATTGCCTCCAGCACTGCTCCTGTTTCTTCTTGCTGGGGGGGGCCGCCACTTTGTTGAAGCCCAGATCAGTCACTTCCTTATAGGAAACACTCCAACTCTCCTTGATCTCATAAACTATATGTCACTTTCTTTAATTAAAATTTGTACATTTCCAGCCTTGATTGTATGTTATGGCTCAGAGAGGAAGGTTGACAGGAGCTTTACAGTGCTGAAGTTCACAGGCTGCCATGAGGGAGAATTGAAAGAATATCAGAGAGTTAAGGCAAGACACTATCCTTGCAAGTTAAACTCTTTTGTGTCTCCCTGGCAGCAGAGTTTGTCCTGTCACCTCTGTACTATTCCTGTTGCTTTCTTCCCTCCCTCTTCAGCAACAGTAAATCTTAAAGCTGCCAGCAGATCGGCTTCTAGTGACTCACTAGATTTTAGGCACAGTGCTGAGAATAGAGAGCAACTGAGCATGTGCAGATCAGGGTGAGATAATGCCTTACTGGATTTAAAAAACAGTATACCGTAGATACATAATGTTTTACTTAGCTATACCTGCAAAAGGGGCCAGCCTGAAGTGATCTATCAGGATTTAATTTTCTGAATAAAGTTCCACTTTAAATAATCAAACATTAGCTCTTCTTTCAAACAGTGCCTACCTAAAAATTAAAGTGTATCTTAACTGAAAAGCAAAAATGTAATATATTGCAGTTAACTAATCCTTGTATTATTATTTTTTTTCCCATTAATTTCACCTGGTCATCAGGCCAGTAAGCCTGTTCTATAAACTTTCCTTTAACAGACCAGGCTGTCAAGGAAAAGTGGAAGTTAAAGGGCTGAGAGAAATCACTTAAAGCAGAACTAAACCCTCCTA